ATGTGCCAAATTTACTGTATAGAGAAATTTATGAGGGTGGTAGCTACACTTATCAAGAAAAGGAGTCTCGAAGATCTTTTGGTCATGTTTTTATTTCTGGAATTTATTACACAGTAACTTTGTCATCTTGCTTGAGTAATAATTTCATTTGTTCATTTATCTTTAAAATGGTCATGAAGTTTTAGTATCAAAACTTTGTGAATAAGATTTTTCATGTTTGAAATTAATTCATAAGAAATGGCAATTGATCCGTTGGAAAACAAAAATATAGATAATATGGTAAAATATGTAAATGTTTATCTTAGAAAAACCAAAATATAGCAATATTTTGAAAGAAGAAAAAAATACTGGCAAATTGAATCCAAAATCACATCAGAGAAATCATCCACCATGATCAAGTTGGCTTTATCCCAGGAATGCAAGGATGGCTCAACATATAAAAATCAATCAATGTAATCCACCATATAAACAAACTGAAAAAGAAAAACCACATGATCATCTCACTAGATGCTGAAAAAGCCTTTGACAAAATCCAACATCCCTTCATGATAAAGGTCTTGGAGAGATCAGGAATAACAGGAACGTTCCTAAACATGATAAAAGCAATATACATCAAACCAACAGCCAAAATCCAACTAAATGGAGAGAAACTCAAAGTGATTCCTCTAAAATCAGGAACAAGACAAGGCTGTCCACTCTCTCCATATCTCTTCAATATTGTACTTGAAGTCCTAGCGAGAACAATAAGACAACAAAGAGAAATCAAGGGGATACAAATTGGAAAGGAAGAAGTCAAACTTTCACTATTTGCAGATGATATGATAGTTTATATAAGTGACCCAAAAAACTCTACCAGGGAACTCCTACAGCTGATAAACACCTTCAGCAAAGTAGTAGGATATAAGATTAACTCAAAAAATCAGTAGCCCTATTATATACAGAAGATAAATGTGCTAAGAAATCAGAGAAACATCACCCTTCACAATAGCAACTAACAACATAAAATATCTTGGGGTAACACTAACCAAAAATGAGAAAGACCTGTATAGTAATAACTTTGAGTTTTTAAAGAAAGAAATGAAAGAAGATACTAGAAAATGGAAAGATCTCCCATGCTCTTGGATAGGTAGAATCAACATAGTAAAAATGGCAATCTTGCCAAAAGTAATCTACAGATTTAATGCAATTGCCATCAAAATCCCAACACAATTCTTCACAGACTTTCAGAGAACAGTACTCAACTTTATATGGAAAAACAAAAAACCCAGGATAGCCAAAACAACCCTGTACAATAACGAAAATTCTGGAGGCATCACCATTCTTGACTTCAAGCTCTATCATAGAGCCATAGTCCTGAAAACAGCTTGGTATTGGCACAAAAATGCAGGTTGACCAATGGACTCAAATTGAAAACCCTGATATTAACCCACACACCTATGAACACCTGATATTTGACAAAGAAGCTAAATTTATACAATGGAAGAAAGATAGCATTTTCAAAATATGGTGCTGACGTAACTGGATTTGGACATGTAAAAGATTGCAGATAGATCCATATCTATCACCATGTACTAAACTTAAGTCCAAATGGATCAAAGACCTCAATATAAATTCAGCCACACTGAACCTCCTAGAAGAGAAGGTAGGTGGCACCCTTGAACAAATTGGTACAGGAGACCACTTTCTGAACATAACACCAGTAGCTCAAACATTGAGATCGACAATTAATAAATGGGAAAACTGAAAAGCTTCTGTAAAGGACACAGTCAGCAAGACAACACTCCAGCCCACAGAATGGGAAAAGATATTCACTAACCCCACATCTGACAGAGGGCTGATCACCAAAATATACAATGAACTCAAGAAGCTACCCACCAAAACACCAAACAATGCAACTAAAAGATGGAGTGAAGAACTAAATAGAGAATTCTCAACAGAGGAATCCAAAATGGCTGAAAGACACTTGAGAAAGTATTCAACATCCTTAGCCATCAGGGAAATGCAACTCAAAACCACTCTGAGATACCATCTTACTCCTGTCAAGATGGCTAAAATCAAAAACACCAATGACATGCTATGCTGGAGAGGATGTGGAGAAAGAGGAACTCTCCTCCATTGCTGGTGGGAGTGCAAACTTGTACAGCCCACTTTGGAAAGCAGTATGGTGGTTTCTCAGGAAAATGGGAATCAGTCTACCTCAAGATCCAGCAATTCCTCTCTTGGGCATATACCCAAAGAATGCACACTCATAAAATAAGGACAAATGTTCAACTATGTTCATAGCAGCATTATTTGTAATAGCCAGAACCTGGAAACAACCTAGATGCCCCTCAACTGAAGAATGGATAGAGAAAATATGGAATACTTACTACTCAGCAGAAAAAAAACAATGGAATCTTGAAATTCGCAGGCAAATGGATGGAACTAGAAGAAACCATCCTGAGTGAGGTAACCCAATCACAAAAAGATAAACGTGGTATGTACTCACTCATTTTTTATTTTCAGACATAGAGCAAAGGATCACTAGTCTACAATCCACACTGCCAAAGAAGCTAGGAAACAAGGAGGACCCCAAGAGAAGATTGTATAGTCCCTCGAAGAAGGGGATGGGGACAAGAACCCCTGACCAAATTGGAGCCCAGGGGCAGGGACAGGAAGGAGAGTCTTCATCCAGTTGCTGTTTGAAGCAGAAGCAGAAACAGACATATACAGCTAAGCACTGAAGCATACTACTGGAATTCAGTTGTGGTGAGGAGAGTTGAGCAAAGGAGCCAAGTCAGGGATGGAGAGACCTGCAGAAACAGTGACCTGACCTACTGATAGAATGGAGACCCTACTCATAAAGCTGGGTAAACAGCATTGGACCAAACCAACCCCTCTGAAAGTGGGTGCCAGCTAGGAGTCCAAGACAGTCTACAGGTCCTCTAACAGCGGAGCCAGTCTTTATCCCTAGAGCACAAATGGACTTTGGGAGCCCATTCCCTATGGAGGGATACTATTGAAGCCCAGATACAACAAGGAGGGCCTAGGCCCTCCCCCAAACAATATGACAGGCTTTGAAGGCCCTTGGTGGAGGGCCTCACTACCCCTGGGGAGGAGTTGGGGGATGGGTTGGGGTGAGTTGGGTAGGGAACGTGGGAGGTTGGGAGGGTGAGGGAATGTGGGGGATGGTATTAAATATGAGTAATTAAAAATAAATTTAAAAAAAGAATAAAGTGATCAAATATATTGTATGGCATGGTTAACAGCAATGTGTTGTATTCTGGAAAATTACTACAACACAAACACACACACACACACACACACACACACACACACACGCGTGCGCGTGCGCGTGCGTGTGTGCAAATGTGTCAGTCAGCTTCATCACACCATTCCAGTATATACACAAATCAAATCACTGTTGCTTCACTCCACCAACAGACAGGCTGTATAGACAGTTCCATAACAGTTCCATAATAACTAAATCATGCACAACTAAATTAAGAGGATGGCAGGTGATAATGGGACGAGTTAAGAGGTAGGGAATTTTGAGGCAGTAAGAAAGTTCTTGTGGTGGTTTAACAGTGAAGGATGACAGAGACAAGCCACAACTTGAAATCTATTACAGAAATACTTGATTGCTGTTACTATTACTATCCCCCACTTTTCTCCATTAAATACAGTAAATTTACTACAATCCTGTATAGCTATTACTAAGGATTAACTAACACTTCACTTATAACAGACTCCTACAACCAAACCCATACAAGATACAGCTACACGTCACAATGGGCATACTCCTTGAAAGACCACAAACTCGAGCTGACGCTTACCCATCTCCTAGAGACTGAAGCTCATGCTTACCCATCTTCTAGAGGCTTGAGCTGACTGCCCATCTCCACTTTTCTTTCCCAAGCCCTAGACTTTATCTTCCTAATAGCAACTTAAACCACTAGTTCTAAAGAAAAGGAGTAGTCAACAACAAAGAGGCTGGGATTACATATTTCTCATCCTTTCTATGTAATGCTAAAATCAATTTCTAATCCCTAAATGGCTATATGATAGAAAAAAATGAACACAAAGAATTTGGATGAAGATTAAATACACATTAAAATGAATGTGGACTGTCTTTTTCCATATAGCTAACAGGCTGACATTACAGTTTATATCGACAACATAACCAAATACCCAACAGAAAAACTCAAATTCTAAGTGTATGGTTTAAAACAATCTCTTTATTAAGCCTGATATAGTATGACATTTTAAATTTAAAGGTACGAAAAGGTTCTGGGAGGATTGTCACCAAAAATGAAATGAGGGTCTCCTTTTTTGTTCCCTGAATCCTTTTCTTAAATTTTATTGTTCTTTATAATGTTAGCCCTCAAGCAAATTTTTACATTCTCCTTTTCCACGAATTTTGTCATTTTACAGATATTGGTTAGAATCTTGGGCAACTGCTATAACGTGCCCTGGGTTTTCCTTCAAACCACCCGTCATTTTCCAAGTCAGATGCTCTACCACTGTCCAATGAGGTCAGCTACAGTCACTTTTGTTAAATGCATTTCCTATTAACAAGAGTTAAAATATAACCTTTGGTGAGCCCTGGATTTAGATGAAAACTATGCATACAAAGCTGTCTTACAATTAGATCTTAATAGAAAGGGAAAACTATGTTGCATAAGACATCACGGTTCTTACCTTTCATTTAAAGTACCTCTTAGAAAGCCACATACTTTTTTTTTTAAGTTAATATTCCTATGTTCAGGTGAAAATTCAGCTTTTAGTTACTATGGAATTTGACAATCCCAGCAAGACAAAGCTGAACCTCACTCTAGAACTAAATAAAAAGTAAATATAAGAATGCAACTATTTAACCTGGTAAAAATGAGAATGTGTTCCAATCAAGAGCACACTATCTAAAAACAGGATTGCTATCTGGCCATCAGTTTCTTGTTACACTTTGAAATCCCTAACTGTACAGACTAAATTTAACATTCACATAATACTACAGTCCGTGAAAAGAGTATATTCTTTTATTGATTTTTTTTGTTCATACATCGTTTCAACTTTCAATAATAAAATTCAATAAATTTGATTCCTTAATCATAAAAACTTGCTGTACATATTATTTACATGTTGCCAAAATCTACAGGCGTGACACACATCACAAGTACTTCACTGACACTAAGCATGGGACCGTCACACAGAAGGGAGTAGCTAATTAACATACATTCAAATGGTAAATTATAGATATGCACAGTGTATTTGGCACTGTTAATTAATATTGGAACATTTTTATTGTCAAAAACAGGCATTCTTAAGCCTTACTCACAATATACCAGAAATTGCTATTCACATTATAATCAGCTTTTAAACTTCAAACATTAACCAGTCAGTTTCAAGGAGCGATTTACAATCAGACTTCGGAATGGAGTTAATTGCTCCAACTTCTTTATATGCTCCATGCCATCTGTTGAGTGGGTTCTACTTGGTGTCTTTTTCTTTCTTTTTGTTTTTTTAAGATTTTATTTACTATGTATACAACATTCTGCTTCCATGTATATCTGCACATCAGAGGACGGCACCAGATCTTATAACGGATAGTTGTGAGCCACCATGTGGTTGTTGGGAATTGAACTCAGGACCTCTAGAAGAGCAGTCAGTGCTCTTAACCTCTGAGCCATCTCTCCAGCCCTAGTTGGTGTCTTTTTCATCATGGAGCACGTCAAAAAGAAACAACTTAAAATAAAATATGTGAAGACACTAAGTTCCTTGGGAGCACAAAAGGAGTTTTGATGACATCCAACTTGTAATGACCTTGGCAGGAACTGAAGAATGACCAGAGCTATTCAAGTTGTGGAGATAGCATTAGCAGTTGACCCCAAGTGACAAGATTCCTGAATGCCTATATTTAAATTCAAAACCCTTAACTTGCTTAAGCGATTTTTTTTCCTAAGGCCAAAACAGACTTGGGTCATAGGCTATGGATTTGTTTTGTTGTACTATACTATGAAAGAAAGTATAATAACTCAACGCTTTATGTTTTTGGCTCTACTCCAAAGGGCAATTTGGCAAACTTTGCTTTAGCAAAACTTGAATCCCCTTATTTCAATTGAGCCCAATAAATTTTACTCATTAAAGCTGTGCATACCCCCAGAAGGTCTGTGTTTATACCTATCATGTTTAGGAAAGGTGTTAAACTGCCTTAAATTACCTCCCCCTGTGGAGGAATAAAACCAGAGGAACACAGATCACAGTAGAAGGAAACAGAAATGGGGGGAAATCTCTAATAACCTTTAAATACACTGAGGCTTCACACAAAATTTTGGCAATAAATTAAAACTTTAAAATTTTATACAAAAAACTGAAGTGCAAAGTAATGTCACTGGAACAAAATTCATTTTAATCATTTTATTTCAAGTATATTTTTAAAATCATAAATGGGGTTTGTAATCCAAAGCTGAAACATGTATTCTTCAGAGTCTGACAGGCAATTCCAGACCATACTTTCCAAACCCAGGTTCTTTGCTATTTTTCAGATTTCAGGGGCCTAGCATTTAAACTGCTCTATTCTAAATATACATGACTTTTGTATACTTGCTGATAAAAGTTTTCTGAAAACTGTCCATCAAATATAAAGAATGGTTTCCATCCAAAGATTATCAGTGGAAAAACATAAAAACATTATCAAGAATACAATTCTGTCAGAAGCAGTGCTGTTCTCTAGAACACAAGAGAATACAGAAGATCAATTTAAACGATGCTCACAGACTTTGGTAATACAGGCCTCCATCCTACTTAATCATATGCAAAGTCATCACTGAGATTTACTGGAGCACGGGAGAGGAGCAGGTTACTTCTGAGGGAAAAAGCTGCCTCGGTTAACTTCTCTCAAATGTTTATTTTAAATAAAAAGCTAATGAAAACGTTTTAAAAATGGTTTGGGTACTATATAGCATACTACTCATCACATAAGGAAATCAAAACTGTCCTCTTAGGAAATTTTCTATCTTTAAGATTATCATTTATTCACTTTTTGGGTTTTCAACCACCTAATATTTTAATATTTTGTATTCTGTACTTAAATGCTGTAAGATTTTTTTTTTCAAATGATCTTTACAACTCAGACCAGTACTTTCAAGTCCCACTGTTTACTATAATGCAGAAATGAAATGGACGGAAAACTGAGGAGGCGGCCTTTGCTCCACAGGTGAGCAAACTTTCAACATGTGAACAATCTGAAATCTCCGACTGTCCCGCACAAGGAGAATACTTCCACTAGTAAGTCAATATATTATTCTTAAAAATTAAAGTTTGGTCTCTAAGAAAGACTGAACAAAATGATCCCCTCCCACCACAAACAACTATACCAGCTCTCTCTACTCACCCCTCCACTCCCCGAAAAAACAGGGGAGCAGCAGGAGCTGAAGCCTTTCCATCTCAAGTCTCAGCTCCTAAGACATGGCCGCTACTTGCTTCAGCTGAAGGTCTATGTACTCCATTCTCCAATGTGCCCCATTTATAAATTTATTTCCATACACACATGCACGCACACACGCACACACTCATTCACTCTCAAGTAAGACACTTTTTTGTGTTTGTTGATAAATTATGAGGAATATGAACTAGGTGTGTACAAGGTTTTATAGGTACTTTGTAAACATCAGAGTCAATTGGGTCCTTTTCTCCAAAAGCCTGAAATCCTGTTATGTAACCAGGAGCCACTACTTTCCCAGACGCTGTTCACAAGCTGCATACTGGCGAAGTGCGGAGAAAAAGTCCTCATAACTGATGTTTAGGTGAGAAGGCAAAGAGCTGAAAAGAAAACACAGGGGGTGGGGGTTAGATGATACACTAGAATATGGGGGAGGGAGCTATATGCAAAAGGAAGTAAAGGGAAGCAAAACGTAAATTATACGAACAGGCTAATTTTTTAGTCAAACTTACTGAGCTGGGCAAACTTAATTTTTTAGTCAAACTCAAGCAAAAATAATCACAATTAATGAAAAAACCTATGTTAAAGTTAAAAATCTGTGTATTAATAATGCACTCAAATTTACTTTAAGAACTCCGTATGGTCATCCTGAAGCCGG